AAAAAAAAAAAAAAAATCTTGCATGCTTTTTTGTTTTTTTATGTTTATAGTAGAGTAATAGCACACAAGCAAGAGTACTGTTTTCCCCAATATTATTAGCACGTGAACGCGATCGCAAATGTGATACGCCTATTGATTTTGACTACAACAGTTGAACAAATTACAAGTTAGTAATAATTAATGAGTTACATTTTAGACACAATATTGTCAGTTTTTTTTTGGTTTTGCCAAACAGAAATAGTTCCAAACAAAGCCATTTGTGCGTCTCAACAGCAACTGAATGAATCTGTTTTGGAACAAATCATTTGAGTCAACGATTCAATGATACATGCATCCAGTCACTGGCTTCGTTTCTAAATGAATCAGAAGTTTTGAATGAAACATTTGAATGAACGATTCATCACATTTAGACAGGGACTTGGCGCCACCTACTGGCAGTTTTAGTCAAATTTATTTTTCACGTCAGGCCTAAACCAGCCTAAGTACCAGCACAATAACACACTTAGCAAAATATCTTTTAATTACCGTTATTGAAAAACTCACAAAAATATTGAGATATCATTTTTGCCAATATCGCACACCCCAAGTTTTTCTTGGACACAAATCACTCACATTATCCTCAAACAATCTCATTAACAACTGCTGTTTTAAAACTAGAATGATGCTGAAGATGCTTTTGCACATTTTTTTGTTCCATCGTGAGTAACAGTGTTGAATCACGCTGTGTCACAAACAGATGCAACTTTAATCGCTGAAGAACAAGAGCAGTTCATCACATCTTCTGCTGCTTCAGAGGAGGTCAGTAAACCAGGAGAAAACTCCCGAATGATTCATGTCACTTACTCTGATTCATCTTACAGTTCATTTTAAACATCTACAGCTGAGTAATTCCATTTTCATACCACTGTTTAATGAGGAACATTTCAGCATTATAATTAATGCAGTGTGTTGTTTGTTCCTTTGATGTTCAGACTAGAGGAATTATCACACATGCTTCAGAAGAATCATGTTAATAAATGCTCTTCTGTGAAAAAACAACATGAAAAATCTATTAATATCTATTTCAGATGTGGTTGGAATAAAATACAAATAAACATCCTCATAAACTGACAAACATGTAAATACATAAACTGTTAAATAACAAATTAGAGTTATGCAATTCTAATTCACAAACTGTAACTTGTAAAGTTGGAACATTTTAGTTCATCATGACCTCATCTGTTTGCACACACACACACACACACACACAGTTCAAATAACAAATACATTTTATATATATATCAATTTAATATATACATACACTACCAGTCAAAAGTATTTGAACAGTAAGATTTTTGATTTTGAAGTCTCTTCTGCTCACCAAGCCTGCATTTATTTGATCCAAAGTACAGCAAAAACAGTAAAAAATTTTAAATATTTTTACTATTTAAAATAATTAAAAATAATAAAATAAATGGTTTTCTATTTGAATATATTTTAAAATGTAATTTATTCCTGTGATTTTAAAGCTGAATTT